CCAGAGTATATATTTTATCAAATCAAATCATTTATTTCTGTTAATGGGTTTTACAAAACACTAACATGTCAATATTTTTAAAAACTAGATGAGACCAGTATTTCCTATCTGACTACCTTGAGAAGAAACACCGAAACAAACTCAAGTCTCTTTTAAAGTCCAAAATTTCAAACATTCACAATGGATGAGCAATGTAGGCTCGTGTCTCAAACGACCTTTTGAAGAAAGGTGTCATACCAAGCTTTTTGTTGGTATTCATTTAACTCAACAGTAACTTAGGAGTTCAACAATCCAACGAACATGCCATCAGAAAGGACATTTGGGTAGGCCGCTGATAATGTCAGACGAAGGTAACTTCTACAACAAAACTAAATAAAATCAACATTGTTCACCCATTCAGAATAAAAAAATAAATAAAAATAATACATCTACATTAAACAGTAGGTAATCATGTCAGTATGTAAAAAAAAAATAAAACATTAAATGTCAAAAAAAGGAAAGAAATGAATAATTACGTGTCATCACTTAACTTTGTTAAAAGGAAAATAAGTAACTTAAATAATAGTAGCAGCCTATGTCGAATCAATTACTTTTCTAACATTTTGTAGTATATTCATGTCATATGATCATATTAGGTCAATGCATTGTCAGGGGAAAAGAAAAAAAATTATAATTAAAAATGTATCAGCAAAATTTGAATAGTGGAAAGTGAATTGCCAGACAACAGGTAAAGCTTACTAGAATGCAAAACATACATTAACGATTACATGAAACTCATATACAAGAAAAATGTGGAATCAGATTATTCCCAAGCCTTTTTATCTTCTAAGTAGTAGAGTCATCATCATCATCGTCATCATCACAGCCCTTCACAAGTCCACTGCTAAACATAGGCCTCCCCCAAGTAATGCTACAAAGCACGGTACTGAGCCACCTGCATCCATCGACTTCCTGCATATCTTACCAGGTCGTCACTCCATCTAGTGGGGGTCATCCTACACTACGCCTACCGGTACGAGGCTGCCACTCGAGAACCTTTCTTCCCCATCGGTTATCGGTTCTTCGAGCTATATGGCCGGCCCATTGCCACTACAGCTTACTAATCCGTTGGGCTATGTCGGTCACTCTGGTTTTACTGCGGATATCGTCATTTCCGAGTCTATCACGCAGATAAACTCCGAGCATAGCCCTCTCCATAGCTCGCTGAGCGACCTTGAGCGTCCTCATACAGCCAGCAGTGAAGGACCACGTCTCTGATCCGTAAGTCATCACTGGCAACACGCACTGGTTGTACACTTTAGTTTTCAGAGATTGAGGTATACCTGACGAGAAGATGTGTCGTAATTTCCCGAACGCTGCCCAGTCGAGTTGAATCAGTCGATTGACCTCTCGGTCGAAGTTGGACTTACCTAGTCTGGACTATTTGTCCCAGGTAAACGTACTCGTCAACAACTTCGAGCATAGTGCTCCCAACAACTACCGGCATAGGTGTGACATGGACATTAAACATGATCTTTGTTTTGTCCATGTTCATCTTAAAACCTATCCGTTGGGAGGCACTATTGAGGTCATTGAGCATAGTGCTTAAGTCCTCCAGCGATTCTGCCATAAGGACTATATCGTCGGCAAATCGAAGGTGAGTGATGTACTCGCCATTGATGTTAATACCGTATCCTCTCCAGTAGTAGAGTAGTATCAATTATTTATTTTTTAATATTTGAATTTTTCTTTTCAAAGATTTCTTTTTTCATTTCTCGTTTTGTTAATATTGTATACCGTTTTATCACAATACAAAATATGTTCATTTTAATATGGTTTTTGTTTTCATCTGCATGAATCCCACATTTATTTAAGAAACTGTAATCTAAGCATTCTAAAAGTATCATTATGTTTTTTTTTTAATATCATTTACAAAACCATTTTCTTCAAGATAATTATTAGTAATTGTCGCAATACCTTCGACACATATTACAATATCCTTATTTAAATAATTTAAGGTATTTCGAGAAGCATTATACTCTTCTAAAACTTATGAACAGGTGTATGGCTTCAGGGTCATCTGCTAAAAATAACTTTCGGCAATTTTCACAGTCACTGTTTCTGAGTTTTTTTAAAATAAATCCACACACATATGCACAAGCTTGTGCTTCTGGCGTCGCCTGTTCGATTGCTTCAACTGCATCAGCTAAAATGACTTCCAGGTCTATATTAGTAGAATTTTCTGCAGTCAGGTTTTCAATACCAGCATGTTGCTGTTGTTGAAAATCTGCCGTTAAAAACGTTGAAAGATTATTTTCTAAAATGGCAGTATCATCTTTAAAATTTTTTTTCACCTGCATGCCGTAAATTGGTTATAATAGCAGTTTTAAACCCTGCCACAAATTGTTCTAATGTGGGATTATATTTGGACCCACAGTTATATCTGATGCAGCCGAAACAGTTTTCTAACGGATCTTGATTCAGGCGACGCTCTTAATGTTTTTGGCTTGTAAATTAATCCACAACCTTTCTACGGCATTCAAACTGTGTATCCATCCTTCTTGAGAAGGAGGATTTGTTTTGCTCCCCAGGTATTTCATAGTAGAAATAAACCTTCTCATTTCATTGAAAAGGGCTATATGTGGGCTCCGTGAAGTCAAGTTTGTGTAATGCCTTTTTCCTCTACGCAGGTCAGGGCTATCTGCATTGACAGCATCAAACAGCTCGTAGAATTTTGAAACAAAACTTGCAGTTGCATGTTGCATTTGGAAGTTCATCTGCAAAGAAATTGCTTTTTAAGAAACATAATAATCACTATGTACACATATATATATATAATATATATATATATATATATATATATATAATATATATAATATATATATATAATATATATATATATATATATATATATATATATATATATATTACAGTTATTAATAAAAAAACATAATACGTGTTTCATAATTATGAATATTACACAATAATTACAGTCATAGCTTTTCTTTATAACTTTTTAATATTTGTTTTTAATGAAACAATACATTTAAAAATAAATACCCAAAATGATTCAGCCATTCTCAAGTGATGTACTTACCAAGAACAAAATTTTTATTTTTATAATATAGATTAAATTGGTTAACTCACTTTTTTCCAATTTTTGCTAATAAACCAGCTGCAACGGAGTGGCTAAACACTTGTGCTGCAAACTTCACTCTCATCTGTTGCTTGACGTTAGGATGAATGTGTTGGTCTGTTAGTGCAGGCGCATAAACGAAGTTTCGGTTGTTTTTGTCCAGATTATAAAAAATTTCAATTAGACTCCATTTCACTATGCCTAAAACAAACAAAAAGATATTTAAATGACACATGATCTACAAATAATAAAGATCGATTCAGTGTAGATAAATACACAATGTCTATGAGCAATCACTTTTTTTTTAATACAAAGAGTCGGCAAAGCTCCTTAAAAAATACAGTCCTGTTTTGGTAATTTTATATACCAGTCATAAAATATGGCCTTTATGGACATTAAATAAGTTTTTATTACCTTTGATAATCTGGTCACTGCACTGAAAATCAGTTGTGCACTCAACATCATGTTTAATTAACATGATTTCTAGTACATTTCAGCAAATGTGGAGGATCCAAAATTGCCACAATTTCCCGTCCATTAAGTGAAAAATATGGTTCTCTAGTTGTTGCTCCTAGGGTTCTGCGAACTTATACATTGACTGTTGAGAGGTCACACACAGTAGCAATAACATTAATCCCCGAATTGAAGCATTAGCATGAAGCATTGACTATAAGTATCTGAAATTAATTGTAGGATGCATTAGAATAATGAATACAATCTTTCATCAAGGAAACATTTCATGGAGACAATATTTACCTCTTTTAAAATCACAGTCATTCTATCAGCTGTTAAAGCATGTGAAAAATAGAAAGCGATGGATGGGCTGCTTCCACTTTTTTCGCAATCTAATAAGCATAAATACTAGAGCCTTTGTTGCAATTTGCTTACTTCGGCCATGATTACCATGATCTTGGAACCCCTGTATCTGGTCTAATTTACAATTATGATGCAAATGTTTTCTTATGGACATTTCATCGAATAACAATACTCGTATAGAAATATTATCTTCATCCGTTTGCTTCTGTGTCATTTTCTTTAAAGATTCAAACAAATGTTTGTTTATGCATGGTTTCAGGGGCACACAAGAAGTTTATTAAGGCAACTTTGGCCTGGCAATGCAAACATTCTCCTTAGTAACCTGTAACAGGCTGGTGACTTTTTATAAATCACTAAGGTTATTAGTTTTTGCTCTAATGTGTACCTTCTTCCTTTCGGTTTTCTAGGGCTATTTCTTATTTGACTTTGCAGTAATGCAACGAAAGCATTTGAGATTTTTAATTTGCAAAGCTTCTGAATATTCTCATCCCCTGAAATTTGTTTGATTATATTCATCTTCTTTTTTTTCAATTGATTTCTGAGTCTTATCATTTCCCTTAATCTTCTTTTGCACACATTGTATAATTTAACTTCTTTCGCAGTCAATTGACAAATTTTTGTAACATTCAGTGTTTGTAAAATGCCACGGTTGCCAGGGTGTGATATGAGATGGCAAAGTGTGATCTTCAGTGGCACTTCTTGATGCAAACTGTAAATAAATTTGTAATCATAGCTGTCAATTCGTCACAAATTTAAATTTTTAAAGCACCTCATTATTTATTATGCACCAGCTTTACTAAAAAAATGTTATTTTATTAAAAATATACTCCTTCATAGGCTAGGTAGGCTGTGCACAACAGTGAGTGTTGTTATGACCGAGCTGGCTGCCTGCTTGACACTAAACCCGTAGAATAGTGCTTTTAGTTGTTGTTTACCCTCCACCATTTGGGTGCTCTGTGGAGCTCAGAGATAAAGTAAACAATTATACTTATTCCTTGCTGGAAGTACTTTGAACTTCTACAAAACTTTGGTGCCTTGATGTAGAAGGTTACATTGTATTTTCAATTTGTTATAATGGTGTTCTTGTCGTTGATTGTCCTGCTGTAATAGTTTGTTCTATACCCTGAAATTAACAATAAACATTTGTGTATAAAGTTAATCTACATAAAAAAAAATGGAATTTATTTATATTATGATTATGAGTAAGTACATAGCACTTCTATTTGGTGTAAAAATATAAAATATAATATTTACTTGTTCATGGAATGCTGATTCAGATAGACATTTAACTTCTACAAGACTGCGGTGTGTTGATGTAAAAGGTTGTATATTTTGTCTATTATTATCCTATAATAAAAAAACATATTTATATTCAAATCATTCTGAAATGTCAATGATCAACATTAAATTAATTTAAATAATATTTATTTGTGACGCCCCATTGGTCTAGTGGCACAAGTACAAACTGTACACTGGGTTTGATTCCCAGCTTGAGCAAAAAAATGTGTGTCATATTCAACACAACTTGGGTTTGTGATCACCAACACCAACCCACACTTGGCAAGTGTGGTTATTATGCCAGATACCCATTATTGCAACAGTGACTTGAATGTTGATAGTTGGTTGGTTTGATACTTCTATTTTTAATTTCTTTGGTTAGGTCAAGTTTAAATAATTCATAAAAAACATTATTATACTTGATCAAAATTAATTTCTCTAGCCCTTAATAGTTCTTCTACCTCAGAAGATTCAGGAACAGCAAATTTGTTCAGTTTTTGCCTTTCACTGTCAGAACTGAGAGGACTGAAAGTGTCTTCCACATAATACCTTGTTTTGAATATGTAGTGTTTTTAAAGAATCTAAAGAGGACCAGTCCATATTTGGCCAACAATACTTGGCCCAAGCACGAGCCCTGAAAAAAAAAACAAAGATAAATCAGACAAAGAAAAAGAATGTATGGGTGGATTGTTACAAGTTTTTAAAACAAGAGAGGGAGAGTAGATCGTCTATTACTAACTGACAAACCAACTAGGCGTGCAAAGATACGGAAATATGCCAATATAGCATAACAATAATTAAATTATGATTAGTTTAAACAAGTATAACCTAGCTGAGAAGTCTATATTTTCCTTCTACCAATATAATGCTGCTCTGCCCAAACCACCCCAACTATTTCATATATTAGATCCACAGCCTTGGCTCGGCCTAAAGCACCATCCACTGTTATTTCTAAACGCTCTATTATAAAGTATTCCTCAATAAAAACGTATATTGAATTTTCTCAAATGAAAATAATTGATTATTGATTGAACCGAATTCGGGCTCTCCCAATTCCGGTTCAATCAATAATCAATCTCTGTTATGTTCCCTTAAAGCGACGCTCTGATCGAGTACTTGTTTTTAACAATAAAAAGACCTCTAATTTGATCCCAAGTAGAACACTCAATAGAAAGCCTCCTATATGTTTTAGGGCAATCCAACATTTATAATATTGGTGTACATTATAACCTCCTACACGCTAGTTACGTACTAGAACCCTTAGAATCCCGCTAATTAACAAAATAAAATTCATTCTGCTGAATACTCACTTTGTAATATTTGTAATATTTATAATAATATAATATATAACCTGTGGTAGGTCACAGACATATCGTCAGCGCGTGTTTTACCACACTTGGCACATTTTCTGTAGTTGTTTCTGTTGTTTAACTTGTTCATATTGTCCTATCGTGAACTATTAACTAAAAACGTCCTTTCGTACACAAAATCACTCAAATTATGTGGTTGATGATATTATCCAATACGATTAAATGTGGAGACTGGATCACAGACCTCTCGGCTAGAGAGTACTACATTCCTTGTCACAGACTGACTAGGGAACAAAACTGGATCAACTTAACACTCTTTCTTCCGTAATCCTGTACTCAACACAAATATCTGTAACTCACGGCTAGAGAGTACCAACGAATATAAGTACTCTCTAGCCGAGAGAACCTAATGGTGTTAAGTAAAGTCGCTTAATACGTAAGTAGCATCATGTATTTTATTAACAGCATAAAATATCATAAATCTAAACAAGGTTATAGATATTCATAATAATAACAATGTACATTTAGACACACAAATAACAAGGTATAACAATAATTATTATTACTCACAATTTATGTTTCGTGTACGTATTCTCTACTTAACAGTTTTAGTAAGACTGCCGCTCGTAGCTGCCGCTTATCGCTGCCGCTCAAACCGACGACATCTGTCTTTTATAGGCTTGTAATTTAACAGTGCTAAACTACAGATGGCGTTGCTTGTGTGGTTTCCGTTACAAGTTTTTATAAAATTGGATATTAAGCCGTAAGTTTTTACATTATAAAACATTATTTATATTTCTTATAATTATATTAAACAGTTTTACATTCAAGTTATAAATATAAGCAAAAATAAATAACTAGACATAATCTAATACATTAATGTACCCGCAGACTTTATAGGATGAAAATAATTAATTACCCACCATGTTAGTTACTCGTTTTCATAACGTAATTTTTTGTATTTAGTGTAAAAACAAACTGATTATTGATATTAAATTATCGAGGGTGCACGGAAGTCTGTATTAATCGTAGTCGTTAGAATTAATGTATCAAAATAATTCTTTTTTATTAGGTTTAGAATCTCAACGCACAGGTTCCTTTAAAAAATCACTGAGTAATTTGTTCTCGTTTAATTGTAATTAATGAAAATGTAAAAAACAACTGGTACTTTTCTACAAAAAAATATTCTCATGGATCTCTTCTTTCGTCTCAAATATAGAAAAAGAGATATTTTTCTTTTATATAATCAAATGAGATTATAAGGCGTGCACTTTTGGATTTTCCAAACTTTTTTATTTTACTATTGTCACTAATGGATAGGCAATTTATTAATGAACATTTTGATCTATTTTTTTTTCAAAAGATTAATATTCGGTTTTATAAAGAAAATATTTTAAAATTTGGGCGTATTTCCTACGCGATATAATGTAGCGAGAGCGCCTGAAATGTATAGAACCGAACGCTCAAGGTCGTTCGCTAGGAGTAGCACCTTAATTGGCCTCCCCTTTAGATTGTCTTGTAGGCTTTTGCTATAGTTGCCACGCTTGCAAGGCGGGATGGCAAAAGAAAAATGCTGCTGCCTATATCCTGTTTCAGTTTCCCTCTATCCCCACTTACGACACTTAACGGATGGATGGGATAGGGAATTTTCTTACGCCGCTGTATAACGCTTCGATATATTTGTATTTGCTTACTTGTAATATTTCATTTACTTGACTTTGTAGTTTTTACCTGATTAAGCAATTCTAAAGAATTTCTTGCATAGCTCTCGTAGCTCTGATCAGAGTATCCGTCGAGGTTGCTTGAAGCACCGTACTGCGGCGAGGGCATGGCGGTACGAGACGATGGTGCGCCGTGTTTCCGGGATGGTGTTCTGTCAAGCCCAAGATGAATGTTATCTCTTGTGTACTGGCCTTGTTTACTAAGAATCACCAGTGTGTCCAAAGTATGGACAGATTTTATTTGAGGTGGTGTGACGTACGACAGAACACAGTCCACCTGATGGTAAGTGATTGCTATTGCCCAAAGACATCTACATCTTTCCTCGATTACGAATAAAAATGAAGATGCGGTGTCGCCCGTGAGGACAAGTATGGAATGCCTCGTTTCCAGTAAAAAGGGTCTCCGGTTCTCTACACTCACCATACGAAACACAGCAGCATTAAGCTACTATTTTACGCTGGTAATCTGTGAGAGCGTGGTCTTTCTCTGGTCGAGCCGACACATTCGTGCTACAATTATACTACTAATATATCTGCAGCATGGCTTTACCACGTATAAAAACGATCAACAGAAGGTTTCTGCCATGCATATAGACTTACTGTACAATACGTTTTATTTTACTATGGTAAACCAGTGCTTGACTAACTACCCCGATGGTGAGTGATGATGTTAAATGGATGAATAATGTTAAAGCGCAATGATTTTGCTTAAAAGACTCCTACATTGTAAACGAATGATTATTCTATTCATTTCTGTACGCGTAACTAACGGCGAAGAAAACTATTTACATGATTCTTTATTATTAGACCTGGAGCCAGAGAAGAAATTCAGAGTTGTGCTTTCTCTATATTACACTATCTTTAATATCTTCACGCGAAGAAAACTATTACATGATGCTTTATTATTAGACCTGGAGCCAGAGAAGAAATTCAGAGTTGTGCTTTCGTCTAATACATTGAACTGTGATACTAGTCTATTTTTACGTGATAGAGCTACGCTGCAGCTATGTTATAGTTGTAGCACGAATGGATCAGCTCGACCGGAGAAGGACCACGCTCTGGACACGCTTATCGTATGATGAGTGTAGAGAACCGAAAACCCTTTTTACTGGAAAGCAGGCATTCCATAATAGTACTCAGGGGTGACAACGCATTTGCTCATTTTGATTCTTCATCATCATCATCATCATCATCATCATTACAGCCCTTCACAAGTCCACTGCTGAACATAGGCCTCCCCCAAGTAATGCCACAAAGCACGGTCCTAAGTCACCTGCATCCATCGACTTCCTGCATATCTTACCAGGTCGTCACTCCATCTAGTGGGGGGTCGCCCTACACTACGCCTACCGGTACAAGGCTGCCACTCGAGAACCTTTCTTCCCCATCGATTATCGGTTCTTCGAGCTATATGGCCGGCCCATTGCCACTTCAGCTTACTAATCTGTTGGGCTATGTTGGTCACTCTGGTTTTACTGCGGATATCCTCATTTCGGAGTCTATCACGCAATTTTGATTCTTAATAGTGGATTAATATGGATGTCTATGGGCCACAGCATTCACTTACCATCGGGTGGACTGTGTGCTTGTTTGTCAACAAATGCTATGAAAAATCTTTCTTATATTAAAATTTTTAATTATTTACAACATATAAAATAATCAAAGATGTTCCTATGTTTCTTTGACCCTATGACAAGGGTCAAAGAAACATAAGAACCTTGATGGACAAGGGAAGCATATAATTATGTTAATTTTTCACAAATCAACGATAGATGGTGTAGCCAGATAGTTTATAGTACTATAAACCAAACCAAAGTGGCAATATTTAAGCCGTCACACATCAAATTTTTGCGAAACTTGGATACTTAATTACGTTGGCCTTAACGCTGGCGTCGAGAACGATAAATCAGCGTTCTCAATTTACTAACTTTAATGCCACTATTTGTGTAAGCGGTTTCCGAAAGCTTGAAATTATAGTTGTAGACGTGGTGGAGCCACGCTGCAGCTGTACTATAGTTGTAGCACGAACGGGTCGGCTCGGCCAGGAAAGGACAACGCTCTTACAGAACACCAGCGTAAAATAGCAGCTTAATGCTGCTGTGTTTCGTATGGTAAGTGTAGAGTTCCGGAAACCCTTTTTTTCGGAAACGAGGCATTCCATTTTATTACTCAGGGGTGACAAGACATCTGCTTTTTGATTATTAATCGAGGATAAATGTAGATGTCTATAGGCCACAGCATCCACTTACCATCAGATGAAATGTGTGCTCGTTTGTCAACCCCATTCTATAAAAAAGCGACTATCTAGTCACAGTACCAAATATGTAGCCCTTGAGCTACCATGGACGGAATACTTATAAATATGTATTAAATATAATATATACCTAGCTGATGGATAAGATGATGCAAGGGTGCTTGATTTCAAAGCTGCCCCTGTTTCTGGCACACCATATTCCTGAGAGGTACTCCTTCCATTAGGTCTGTTGTAGGTTGTCGATAGTACACCTGATTCCCCATAATATGCACCAGTTTTTCTAGCTTCTTCTCTAGGTGCACTATAGTGAGTCGTCAGAGAGTTAGCTGGTGTTCCATAAATTTGGGAAGGGCTGTTTCTTGATGATTTAGCGAGGCTTTGTGTTCCAAATGAGAAATCTTCTAAAGTCCTGTGCGCCTGCTGTGTATTCTTCTTCTGTGATCTTGAAGAAGGTGAATATTCCTGTGATACGGAGCCAGTACCCTTCTGGCCACTACGAGATTTGGGCACACCGTACTTTTGAACGGGCGAAGAGCTTCTAGTATTCGAAAAGCCATTGTTTCTTTGGAATGGTGCATTGTATACTTCAGCAACGAAGGTTGGAATTCAGGGACACCGTATTGTGTGGTTGGAAATGAAAAAAAAAGAAGGAGACGTTCTTACAGCACCGTACCGATGAGATGTTCCTGTTTTTAAATTAACCGCCGAAAAACACTGTCCCAAAGAGCTAAGAGGGTCGAACTTTTGTCAGTGACGAACTGACGGTGTATACTCCTGTGTAATTTACTTCCAAATTCTGTACCACTGCGCAAGTTGGGAATTCCATATTCCTGAGATAATCCGCCACGGAAGCTAGTAGGTCCATATTCTTCGGGAATTCCCCTAGTGTTTGGTCCATGATATTGGTCAGAAATGGTGTTAGTAAATAATCTTTCAAGTTTTATCTTTCTTGCCATCAAAATACAAAGCGGAAAGCTCCGTATTAGAGTCTTCCCTTATTAATTCCTGACAACTTTTCGCGACGTAATTTATGTGTGTCAATAACCTCAACGTCTGATCTAATATCGTACAAAACGGATGAAGTGATTGCTGCTGCTGCCCTGTCTGAGACTCCATATCTGTCAGACGTATTCGCTAAGGTAGTTAAAGACAACTTTTTCTTCTTGTTGACAGAAACTCCTTCATTTGTGGTAGTTGCGAAATAATCTGTATTATAGTTCCGCTCGGATGGCGACGATAACATAGAAACGTCTATTTCTGAATCAATTGAAGTAGAACTAATTTTCTCAATATAGTTTCCTCTGTAGGGTCTTTTGTAGCTTCTTCATTTTTACTACTGTAACGTCGACTCCACCTTTTATCATTTTGTGAGAAGTTCACTGATCAATCAAAAATTAATGTTCTCGTTTGGGAACCTTTTTTATCGGTCGGGCAATTTGTGAATTCCTTGCATTTACATGCTGAAATATCAAACAGCCAGCCAGCTTACTGTTTTCACGAAAATTATCCAATTTAATTGAAAAGAGCTTCTTAATAGACTTGTGTAAATTTTTACATTTTTTTGGTAGGCTTTTAACGTTTGTATAACTCGTGTTCTAGTCACGGCCGGAATAGACGCAGTTTGCCATATAGATATTTTTAATTCTAGATGCCACAATTTCTGATATTTTTTTCTCTTTCCTAGTTTCTAGTTGCAATTTAAGTTGATGTCTGGTCCACTCGTAGTACTGCATCATATTTTCATACGTCCCGTTACATAAGCTTCCCTTTAATAACTTGGATATCATGAAAAAGGGGAAACTTGAATGCACTACGAATTCTCTCCATGCTTCAAGCAACCAAGAAATATTGTGAAATAGATCAAAGCGCGACGTTTGACATTAAAAAGCAATAGCATACTGGCAGTCAACACGACAAATTATCTCCCTCGCGTGCGCCATAATTACTTCCCTCGCTTCATCATGACCTTTATTTGAAGTAAGTTTACATAAAAACTAGGTTTTTAATGATTTATTATGAAAATAAACTGTATTTTAAATTAAAAAGAAATGTTACAATTTATTTAATTATAGTATATTTACATAGCGTCAATCCTGGGTCGAAAATCATCTTTTATAAAATTTCAATGACCTGGCGGAGGCAGTTACTCTGAATCAATCCAAATAATTTCATTCCTAAAGGCACCTTTTGCGCACCATTAGATTACCATAAGGAGAAAAAAAATTTCGCTCCACCCTATGGTACATCCGGGTTGAGCCTAGATGTCCCACTATTGGGATGTCGTGACTGTCCCGGAGGTTTTGGGTCTTTTCCTTAAGAGGATAGCTTGAAAATAAATCGTAGTTTTGGGGGCGTGGCTTATTTTTTTATCAGCAAAGCTAACCGATGACGGAAGGAGTGTATAAAGCGATTAAATGACTTTATAATATTATGCAAATTATGAGATAGCTGTAACGAGCACACGCTCGAAAAAAACTAAGTAAGCGCCAAACAACATTTTTATTTCTATTTAACAAAATTTCGTTATGGATAAAAAAATGGTTAATGAGAACTTAGATATGATTATATTCCTTAAAATAATTCCATAAACTTATTCGTAAAGATATGTAAGGACGATAGTGATACAAGGATCACCTGATGATGAGCGGGATACCTGAATATTTAAAGAGGCTTGCTCTTAGTACAGACAGGGCGTTGACTTTCTTGTGTTGATGCGCTTTTTTTTTTTTTTTTTTTTTTTGCATGGGGAAATGCCGGCAAGGACGGGTTATGTCGGACTCGCACCGACTAAAACCCCATGGTGTTCCACCTTTGTCGCATATTGGCAGGGCTACGGGAACGCTTTCGCACACATCCGCGGCCTTACTAGCGCCTGCCGCCCCATGGCAGCACCTCCTCGGGAGAGGAAAATTCCTCCCCGTTCTCCTTCCCAGGTAAGGCGCACCAGAACACATGGCGCGCCTTCCTCCACGGCCTCCAATTACGTCTGTGCAACAGACGCCCCCGCGTCCGATGCACAAAGGCCGTGGGGCCAGGAAAAACGAGCACTTAGAAGTACTAGCCTTCCAGACCCCAGCGGTGGATCTGGTCTACGGCTCCGCCGCCAACCAAGATTCGGCTGCGGAGGGTAGGGAGAGCGGCGCCTCGCAATACCGACAATCCTCTCCCCCCGCAGCCCCACCACCACCGCATCAACGGTGCGGCCCCGTTTGAGTCGCGAAGGATAGGGCGAGTGGCGCATCGCCATACCAACACTCCTCTTCCTCCGCGACTCCACCTCGGCTGCAGCGGTAGAGGGTGCGCGAGTCCCCACTCGCTGCAGTCCACCAGCACACATCCGAAGTGGGCTCCCCAAGCCCACTCGGAGTGGATACCTCAGGCCGGCCGTTCACCTCGGGCCAGCCACGTGGGTTCCTCTTTGTTCACCGTGGGAGACCAAGCCACGGCTACTAAGCCCCCCCGCCACGACAAGGCGGGAACCCGTTTCGGGGGGGGGGGGGGGGGGGGTGTTGATGCGCTATTGTTTCAATTACACTTTTATTTTAGGTGCTAATTAGGTGCCAAGTTTAAAAATTAGATGCCCTAAAATTTTCACTGTTGAAATTTGCGCTACTGGCAAAACGCACAGCTAGCAATGCAGTGACGTAATAAATATACAATAAATATTATTAATAGCAAGGAATTAAGTGTTACAATTATATGCAATGGCAAGGCGCCCTTAATAAAAATTAAGTCATTATTCAGACCAAGTAGATGCTGAAAATCAGAATAGAATCGAAATCGGGATACTTATTGAATTAATTTGATAATTAAGTGCTTTCAAAAACAAAACTCACTTTTTTACAAAGGAATATTGACACAGTTACTTCTGCAACGGCTTCGACGCTGCGGTAAAAGCAGCCCCTTCGCCCTTGCGTAACAAATGACAGGCGCCTTACTTTAAAAATGCCGTTCATACCTTACAGTAAAGTGATGGTGGTCCTGGACCCAATAATTCCCAGAATATTACCATCATCTACATCCGACCTCCATAATCTTTCAGCACTGAGCTCCTTGCTATTAATATTTATCTTATATCCATTATCGTCACTGCGTTGCTAGCGATACGTTTTGCCAGCAACGCTACCAATTTGGTATCTACATATACATTTGACATTTTTTGTTTGACTTATCGCTTTACATAATTATAGTACCTACTATGGAAATTATACTAATTTTGAAAAGAGCAACTACTAAGTTTCTTACTTTCTTCCATGATTCTTCTCAGTAGAATCAGCACCTCTGAACATGGAAAAGAAAAAAAAATTAGGAAAACAGCGATTATAAGACTATTCAAAAGTGTACCTATTTTTAATGCCTACGTGAATAAAAATTATTTGAATTTTGAATTTCGAATGAGTGAAGTCACATTCGCGCATTTTGTGTTTTAAAATAACACACTTCCAAAAATTTATAAGCAGTGTCGGTTTATTAACTTCTATCGTACTCTAGTAGTTAGTAAGTACCTAGATAAATACAGCAAGTGCGTTACTTGCTGTATTTATCTAGGTACTTACTAACCTAGGCAAATTTAATTTAATTAATGTAGATTAATTACATCACAAGAAGAACATAATATACAAAATTTTATTTATTTATTTAAAAACTTAATTGCATTTAGAATGTACAATTGGCGGACTTAATGCCTTTAGGCATTCTCTACCAGTCAACCACAAGCTATGCAGAGAACTTTAGCAGGTTATGGCGCCTGCTAAAGTTCTCTGCTTAACTCGTGGTTGACTGTACGTGCGTGGTTGACATGTTGAAAGACTGAGACATAAATTTGGTACGGCGAGGAAAAACACATAGGGTAGTTCCCTCAGAGGATCGCAGGTTACGATCGTGAGAAGAACCCAAATACTGAAACTTACATTTCAGGTATTGGGGAGTGCATGGATCATATAGGATTGAAAAAAGCGTGCGAAGAATTTTGATACATCTACGCTGATGAATAGGAAGCTATTTAAGCTTAGAACGATATATGGATACATGATCGTATTTGCGGAGGCCAAAAATAAAACGGATGCAATTATTTAACAAACGATCTAAATTGCACAAAAGTACTTGACTCACATCAGAGTAACATACATGAGCATAATCAATGACTGGTAAAAAACTGGTTGGAAGGAAATTCTTTAAAAGATAAAGGCCACGCAGTGTGATTGTCACTCTCCGGCCTATTTCAGCCACCTGAGTTTGCCAATTTAAATTAGCATCAATCGTTAACCCAAGGTCTTTAACTACATGACCTAAGAGGAATAATTGTGCTATTGTAAACGATAGGCTCCAATGAATTAAAATCTAATTTAGCTATACGGCGAGGGCTACCGAGAATTATCGCTTGACATTTAACAGGATTGACAGCAACTCCATAATTTCTGCACCAGTCACAAATGACCTTTTTGTTTATTTACATACTTATTTACATTTCATTGTTACGTAGGCGTACACTATACCTATCTGGCAACGCATCTGTTTTATTAATATTCCGAAGAATCGTTATTTTTATCAAGAATGCCGAACTTTCCTTCGTCTGTCTTTCGGCGTGTACTTGTAAATAGTAGTATTTATTTTAATTCCAGTCATTTCCAATCAGTGGCGGATTCACACATTTGCCGCCATTAGGCTATTCAAATCTTGCCGTCCCTATTGACTTCTATAAGTCGATACCTTAGTTCACATTCATATGCACTTACACTTTTTATGAATGAAATTGTAACTTTATGACTTGTGCACATAGAGAATATTAAAGTCTTTGCTTGTGCACTACAGTCCTAATTACATCAACTTATTGCCGTAATTACTATGATTGTGAACTAGGACATCATTGAGTCAGTCTCCTACACTATTTTTACAACGCAAGAATTAGTTAAGATTCCACAAGAAATATTTTCTGGTTATATTATTGAGCTAATAAAAGCTCTGAATATTCACTTTGTTTATTCTTTGCAAAAAAATTCACATAACAACCATTACCACCATTTTCAGTTTTTCTAAATTAAAAAGTATTCCAGTCGCTTCGCTTCGCGATACAGGCTTTACGGTGCAAACATCCTTGAGTAATTCCAAAGTTTTAAGGGCTTCGTACCAAGAATCTCTAAACTTTCACATGCGTCCTCTCTAGCTGATCAAGGCGTCAGATTTACCCTCTTTAGCGTTTTCCCTTTCTCGATTTCAGTCATTCTTTTTTGCCAGCAATGTGTCGAACTTATATTAAAATGTCTTGAAGCAACATAAAGAAACGACAATTTTTGAATAACATTCAGTAGCCGCAGTTGCCATTGAATTTAAAGAGTGTCCAGAGCAAGGAACGAAAAAATTTTATGATTTCCGAAATGGCTTCATCTTTCTTTTTAAAATTTAAACCTCTTTAATTTCTGTGACACATAAAAAAATTGTCTCAAATTTGCCGCCTCAAAAATCTGCCGCCCTCCAGTCTACTCAGCCTGCTGGTAAATCCGCCAATGTTTCCAATTGACCTTTGCTTCGAGTCTAATGTATTAATTGTTTTTACTCTAATCCTTGTTGTTCTCGGAGTGATAAGTCTACAATTTGACATAAGTGGCGAAGAGTCAAATAGTTCTAGTCGGAGTAGTGAGAGTTGGAGTTATAGATCTAAAAGACCTAAAAGCAAATTTGATGAGTTTTTCGAAATAATTAATGCATCCCAAATAGATTTGTGTAAATTGTGCCAACATAAAAAGGTTGAAATAAAAATTAAAAACAGAAACACTTCAGGCTTAAAAAAGCATCTTATATCTTTCCACAAAAAGAAATCACAAATATTTACACAAGTACAAGCTTTTTAATAACCGCTGGAAAAAATGGACAGGTAAGAAAAAACATAGGTACTTATCACACAATTACATAACAGATATGCTATGTAACTAGCGGCCGTCCGCAACTTCCTTCGCGTATAATACCTGATTTCCTACCAAATTATGAAATTTTCCTGCTACAATAGGCCTACCTAACCATATAGAGGCTTTATAGGTAAAGCTTAACTATGCAAGTATTTATTATTTAGAACTAATAACCTAAATGTCGGTCTTCATACCTATAGTTTAAATATATAGAACTTGCATGTAACATTTCTACCCCAATTTCACCTCTAAGGTAGGTAGGCTTTAGTATTTCGTAAAACAGCTTATTCAGTATTTTATTATTAAAAACTTATAACTTTAGTGCTGATTTTCGTGTCTCTAACTCCAAAACGTAGAACTTTCATGTAACCCTCCAACCAGATTTCACTCCATTTGGGGTGGATTTTCGTGAAATTGCTTATAAGGGTTATTATTACTTAAAACTAATAACTTGAATGTCGATTTTCAAGTCTCTATCTTTAAAATCATAGGACTTTCATACAAATTTTCATCCCACACTTCACCCCCTTTTGGGTACTTTTTAGAAAATTGCTTATACAGGTTATTATAACTTAGAATTTATAACTTTAATGCCGATTTTCATGTCTCTAACTGGTGATGCGTTAAAGTGGTTTAAAGTGGACTGTAATAGGTACTTGGAATTAGATTTCGTTGAAATTTGCAACCGTCACATAAAACTGAAGGCACGCACCTGGTGAACGCTGGCAGCTTCTTCTCGTACCTCAGGTTGACGGCTAAAATCATGTCACCAACTTGCATACCGGCCTGTTCCGCTGCACTACCCTCTTGTAGATCCGACACGAATATCCCACGACCAGCCTCCTGGTGCCGACCATCTATTATCATGATGCCTAAGCCCGCCGGACCCTTCTTGATAGTTATGTCGCGAGCGCCTTTGTACCCAGCAAACCGATCCTCCGAGTCTTCTTTTAAAGCGACTGGAAACTGTGTTGGTAGCAATGGTTTGACTGCGACATCTACTAAGGCTGATTTGCGTCTGAGGAGGATGATCTTGAACACAGGTCCCACGAGGCCCTTGATGATAGCGGATGCGTTAAGGTGACACCTGCCGTGCAGCACTATGCCGTTCACCTCCAAGATTTCATCACCGACTTTGACAGCTGGGGTAGCTTTCGCAGCCGCTCCGGTCGGATGCATACCGTACACGAACACCACCATCTTGCTTCGGTCTCGATGCCCGGCCAGACTGAGACCGAGCCAGGCTTTCGGGGTCCGCTCCAACTTGACCAACCACGTTGTCTCCGAATGTAAAGTGAACCTTTTCACTAAGAACGGAGCATTCTATCTTGATGGATGCAATGCATCTGCATTTTAAATCTTGGATAAGAATTTAGGCGTCATGTACTATAAACATTCACTGAACATAAGGTGGACTGTGTGCAGGTTTGTCACCTTTGCTTCTATTAGAAAACTAATATCGAAGAATTTGACCACAAAGATATTGCGGTACGTTGTCTAATAGGAGCAAGGTTGAGTTTTTTATATTTTTTTTAATAAAGTATACCTCCATAGTGGTCCCATGAACAATTTCAATCAGATTTGATGGTAATATGAGTCGATTAGTATTTTAAGCATTTTCATTGTGTTCTTAGTTGGTTAGTTACGCTATCGGAAAAATATTTTAAGCTATTTAAGCTATTTGCAACCAAGTTAATATCGTGGAAATGCATATTTACAAAATATAATACTTTTTAGTGCCAAAATAACGTTTTCATTGAGATCTTTATAATTATACTCAGCCCTACCGGCGGGGATTTGAATGTATCTAAGCATAAATGACCATTAAAATAAAAGCAACTCGTATGCACATTCAAAAAAGTAATAATACTTACTTTATTAAAAAATTTAAGCACTAACTCATCTTTCAAAATATTATAATATGTTATTTTTGCTAATAATTTAAGTAATGGTATGAATGAAAGGTATTTAATAATAAAGGAAATCTGATAATAATTATAAAGTAATATTATATAATACTTTATAATTATTATTATAAAGTAATATTATATATAATAAAGGAAATCTGATTATAAGTATAAAGGAAATCTGATTGATGAATCTGACCTGAAATGCGGAATCTTTCAATTTGAGAAGTGGCGGTAACACTAACTTCAAAAATGTAGGACTTTCATACAAACTTCCAACTGCCATTTCAACCCCTCTAGGGGAGGATTTTCTCAAAACCGTTTCTCAACTGACCTCTACGCCATAAAAGGAACCTACTTTCCAAACTTTAAGTTTGTATGTTTTATAGTTCTTGAGATATCGTGATAGTCAGTGATAGTGAGTTGTATTTCTAAAATACATAAAGAACATGTTCCTATTCGTCCAGTTGTCTCATATATAGGTGCACCAGCTTATTTCCTTGCTAAAAAACACACTTCCTATTTGGAGAGAAATCTGATTTCAACCCAATTTACAGCCTTAAAATAGTTTAGATCTCATTTCCAAAATTAAAGATAGTCGTATTCCTCCTAAATGTATGTTGTTATCTTTAGATGTTGATAATCTTTTCACAAATGTCCTATCCCCTGATTTTTTGCATATCTCTTTGATAAACATGTTCTACATCCAGGGTAAACAAATGATCTTCTTAGGTCCGCCACATACATACGGAATTCCGTTTCGGGATTCCGAACGCAGCAAGTCCATACAAAATCAATGACCCGTCACACACCTATGGTAGTTTTTCGTACGGAATTTTGCGGGCAAAACGGGATTCCGTATGTGCGTGGCCGAGTCGTTCGTTCCGTTTCGGAATTCGGAAACGGAATTCCGTATGTAGTGTGTGGCTGGCCTTAACTTAAGCTTTCTCTGTAAGAAACAAAATTATTTCCGGTTTAATAACCGTTTCTGTATACAAAAAGATTGGTTAGCAATAGGGTCCCCTCTAAATCTACTTATGGCAAACATTTTCATGGATAATTTCAAAAAACAACATACCTATAGTTGTCAATCAAAATATCCTATTCTGTTATCGATAATATTGATATGTACACGACATAATTATTTGCTGGATGACTTTTGTATACGTAGGTACTTTAAAATACGAAGTAAACTTTTTAGTTGAGTCATTAACATTCTGGCTGTACCCGCTATTCTCCATAATGACAACAGTATTTCCCTTGTCGGCATTAGTAACAATGAGGTTAATGTCTTTTATTCTCTGCTTTTTTGACATAAAAATGGGGGACTCAGGATTGCAATGGGAAGATACAGCCGGGTACAGCTCGAATTTCTTTACTATCAAACTTTAAAGTAGTCGAATTTTTAACGTATCCGTGATGACGAAAAAGATTCAAACGATTGCAATGAAAACATCATCATCATTACAGCCCTTCACAAGTCCAATGCTGAACATAGGCCTCTCCCAAGTTATGCCACAAAGCACGGTCCTGAGCCGCCAGCACCCATCAACTTCCTGCATGTCTTAACAAGTCGTCACTCCATCTAGTGGGGGGTCCTTTTTTCCCCATCGGTTGTCGGTTCTTCAAGGTATATGGCCGGCCCAGTGCCACTTCAGCTTACTAATCCGTTGGGCTATGTCGGTCATTCTGGTTCTACTGCGGATATCCTCATTTCTAAGTTTACGACTGACGAGAGGATGTGTCGTTATCTCCCGAACGCTGCCCAGCCGTGTTGAATCCGCCGATTGACCTCTCGGTCGAAGTTGGACTTACCTAGTCGGACTATTTGAGCCAGTAAACGTACTCGTCAACAACTTCGAGCATAGTGCTCCCAACAACTACTGGCATAGGTGTGACGTAGAAATTAAACATGATCTTCGTTTTGTCCATGTTCATCTTAAGACCTATCCGTTGGGAGACACCATTGAGGTCATTGAGCATAGCGCTTAGGTCTTCCAGCGATTCTGCCATAAAGACTATATCGTCGGCAAATCAAAGGTGAGTGATTTTCTTGCCATTGATGTTAATACCGTATCCTTTCCAGTCCAGTAGCAGTAGTCTTCCAATGCAGCGGCGAAGAGTTTTGGGGATATAACGTCACCCCGTCTTACACTTCTCTACAGTTGGATTAGTTTTGTACTCTGGTTCTGTACTCGGATAGCCATCATAACCTTTAACCATTCAACCAAAAAATTATTAAGATTAAACTAACTACAGGAAATAAAAATAAAAACATAATTTCTTAAAAACTTCCTTCCTTCTTCCTAAAAACTTAATAGTCAACCGCTCATTTAGTTCTAGTATTATAAAAAACAAATCGGCTGCTATAATAACGCCTATTCTAATCAACTACAGGTCTGTCTATAGACAGTAAAATATTTTTTACTATATAAAAATTTATGCTTGTTCGTACTTTCTACGATGCCATGCCGTTCATCAGATTGCGGTCAAACTTAGTCAACTTATTGGTTGCACTTGTGCGAAGGTTATACGCATGGTACAATTAACTGACACTAGGTGGCGTGCGTATTATACCGACTATTTGTTTGAAAGTTATAGAAAGTTCTATATCATTCTAATTCAATGATTGTATTATCCTTCCTAATTAAACACTTAAAAAAAACGAAAACACTGGGCAGCCCAGCCAGATTTATCTTAACCCGGGAACCAAAAATTTAAAAAAAACAAAATTAAAAAAACAAAAAAAAAAAAAAAAAAAGCGGTGGCGCCACCAGCCGCCAAAACACGCATATAATAACTGTTCTACATTTTAACGATATTTCCACAATTATTTCTTCTGCGGCAGCAATGCGCCGGGTACGAGCTAGCAAGATAATATAAAAAAATATAATATAACTATAACTTTGAATTACATAGTTATCAGTTATTTACAACGTCATTTTCGAAATTGAAATTACAATATTTAAAAAAAATAACTGAAGTTATCATAAAGTCCTACTTTCTGTAGTATCATCCCAAGAATGCTGGCTACATGTCCTCACAACCCCTCAAGCAGGACAACAAACTAAACAACTTCTTATTACCAGCAGCGATGATCAGTCGCAGATACAGTTTTTTAGGAACTACACCGCACGTGCACCCTACGGACCAATAGTCTCTACAGCAAATTGCACAAATATGTACTTATCTTCCAGATACTCTGGGCTATTTACTTGGTTCAGTTGCCTCTAATGCCACCCTGCTTTAGACGAGGTGCTCCTGAGATGGGATGCTGTCAAAGTGTTCGCAAGTATAATCGCAAGTATCCCACACTAAAGCTTTATCTCTTTCTCTCAAGCAACTAAACGCATACCGTCGGGTCTCCTGGTATCGTCTCTAAATATTCTACAAAGATCTTAAACCGAGGAAACATTTATAGAGATACGAGCTGCACTACGGACTCCCCAAGCCCGATATGTGAATGGAGCCAGGAAAAAACGAGCACTTGGAAGCAGCAAATGGTGCAGCCTCACCAAAGTCGCGAAAGTTAGTCGAGTGGCGCATCGCCAATCATCATACCAACACTCCTCTTCTCTTACGACTCCACCTCGACTACAGCGGTCCAGGGAGAGGAATCTCCTCAAGCCGCAGCCCACTAACACATATCCAACGTGGCTCGACATCATCAGGCGATCTTTCGACACTTGTCTATGGCCCTTGAGTTTGTTTGAAATTGAAGAAAGAAGAAATAAAAAAACATAATTTGCATGCCGCTTATGACATTAATAATAGTATTTAAAATGTTTGTCTGTCTGTATGACAGTGCGGGTTAATCTTTTAAATGGCGATTTTCATAGAAGTTTACGACACTATCCTTTATTCTGTTACCAGCTAGGCTTTATTTTATCCAAAAAATTGAACTAAAAAAAATTAAAAATGAATAATATAAATGGTCTTTATTTGCCTTATAAATAATTTGCCTTATAAATTATAAATAAACAACGCCCATTAATAAATGCTACCCGAGCACAGCCTAAAAGGTCGCTAGTATATGTGATTTTGTTCATAAATGTGTGTTGTTGGACTCTCAAGTGCGAAATATATCTGTTTGCAACCTAACCTTACGTGGTAGAGCCACGCTGCAGTTAATGGGACCTTATAATATGAAACTGGCGTTTTGTACGGGAGGAATATAAAGTCAATTTTCTTTTGTAAAATACATGTAATTAAAGTATGCACCGTTGTTATCTATGCACTTTTGCCATCATTGCACATTCAACATTTAGGTTCATTGATCCCTTTACAAAAAAACTTTCAAGTTTTTTACTTTCCCGATTTGCTTCAAGTGGATTAATACAGTTTTATCACTTACCC